GAAGGGGAAGACTGAAGTCCCTGTATGCTTTTATGTAGATTGTAGAAATAATGCTTAGGAAGAACTACCTGCCTGAAATCATTGCTTGCACATGTGTTACCAACACATGACAATGATAAATCAAACTTTGTAACTGGAATTCTATTTTCCCACTAGTTCTAGAAACTGGGCACATAAAGTTTTCTGGCTTCTCCATGATCTTTATTTTTTTTTTATTTTTATTTATTTATTTATTTGTTTTTGTCTTTTTTCATGTCCGGCAACAGATCGCAACCCTCAGTGTTGTGCCTGTACCGGACCGGGACCAGCAACGGGATCGCAACCCTCGGTGCTGCACCCACACCTTGCTCAGCCAGTGAGCGGGAACCGGTCTGTATGTGGGATCCGAACCCTTGGCAGGAGCGCCACCGCGCTCCCAAGCGGTGCACTGTAGCAGTGCGCCACCGGGCTGGCCCCTCCATGATCTTTAAATCATGTTGATTTAAATATTTGCTTTTCAGACTTCCAGCATAGGAATTAGTCCCCTGAAAACTAACACTTTAATACAGAAATGGAGCTCCTATTTAAGAAACTTTTTGATGAATTCTTTTGCAAATTAAATGAATTTTGCAATATGAATATCCATCTTCTCATCAGTTTTCTTTTTTTAGAAAGTTTGTTATTTTTCAAATTGGACATTTCTAATGCTTTTTAGGCTGATGGTACCTTTTATGTGTCAAGAATCAAATGCAAAGTATGGCTGACCTCTGATATTAGCATATTGTTCTTGGAAATATGGAAGGATCATAAAAGAAAATTTAAACTATGTCTTGAAATCCCAGGGTGTCTGACAGTAATCATTTGTGTGAAGGCTAATCCCATCCCAACAGACCCCAACAGATAATCCAGATTTTTGTTTGCATTACACATGCTCTAAATAGGTGAGCCATTGCTGGGATTGGAGAGCCTTTAACCATGCAAACACCTTTTGTTGTTAGGGCATTTATGAAAGCATTTTAAAGATTCAGATATTATTTCATAAGTACTTTATTATTTTGAAATTCGACCTATATAAATACTGCTTCATAGGTACCTCAAATGATATTTCTAAAAATAAAAACAAAATTATAGAGCCATCTCTATGGCAAAGCAAGTCACAGGTGCAGCCCCTTTCTCTCTGAAATCAGAAGAAAGGCCAAGCTCGAATGCCAGGCAGTCAAGGCTTTATCCATGGGCGGTGGCCACCTCCCTGTCCCTCTGCTGTGATAGAAACTGCTCAGCTCCCAGTGAAGTGGCCCACTATTGTCCCCCTTTTCCCTATGAGGGTTCATAGCTTCTCCTCGTAGCATAGATTAATTATGTTATAAGGAAATAGAGAGCCTGCCTGGGTATCACACAGTGTTTTGTATGGAAAATGAGATCAAATTCCTTAACCACAAACCTTTGAAACTCAACCTGTTTTAATGTGGGGCCTGGGAATGCAGCGTTCCTCCTGCCTTGCCTTCCTTAAATGCCCTACTTAATGCCTTGTGTTGGTAAGAACACCAGTCTCCAACCAGACCTCCTGGGTTCAAACACTGACTCCACCACTTTCTCCCAGTGTACCCTGAGCAATTGCTATAACCTCTCCATGCCTCGGTTTTCTCGTGTATATGAATGTGTTTAATAATAGCAATTCTTCACAAGGTTGTTGTGAAGTTTGAATGTGCTAGTACAAGTGAAATGCCTAGTGGTATTCAATAAATGTTGAATGAACAATCGTACCTTCCCTACCAAATGTAGGCAGGATGCGTGCTGAGATTAGGGCTAAGGTAATCTGAGTAACTCACCAGGGGAAACCCAGGGGTCCAGCACACTACAGGCCAGTAACCTCACTCTGCTCTGGCCCACAGACCCTGCCTCCACCCCCAATCAGCTGCCTCAATAATGCCAGCCTGGGCTAATGGCAACCTGTACTAGAAAATATACAGGTGGGCTCACAGCACAGCCCATTCCCATCCCAGAGAAGACAGCTCAGACCTGCCTACCCCCTCAGACTCCATCTACTAGAGCTGTGAGGCTAGACACCTCAAGGGGAGGAAGAAGGGGCTCATGGTGTGGTAGCCTCTCCCTTTGGGGTGGGCTTCCGTTAGTAAGTCAGACATCCTGGGACATGGGTGACAGTTTTAGCTTCTTGACCTGACTTAAGGCTATGTAGACCCAGCTGGGAAGTTCTGGTTCTGCATTTCTTTGTGCTCCTGCCCTAAGTGCTGATCAAGACTAATTCATGAAGGAGCAAGTGTGGCGTGGAGATAAAGGGTTTGATAAATTCAGATTTGGAGTGTAGAGCATAAAGAGGAAAAATGAATGTTAAGCCATGGGAATACCCACAGCCCAGAGAGAGGAAGAGAGTTAGGCACAGGAAGGAAGAGCTAGTCTGAGAGCAGGAAGTGGAGTTAGGGCAGCATTGCACCAGGCTGCTTGAACCATCACTGTGTGTGTGTGTGTGTGTGTCTGCTGCCAATCTTCACAGAACAATACTTTTGTAACATATAATAAAGAATCACCAGGGAAATGAAATAAAAAAGACTACAGTCTTCAGCGTTTTTAACTACTATTTAGATTCTACACTCATAGAATTATTCTGTCCAATTACTTTTAAAGTTTCTAGACACTTATTCTCAATTTCTTGGTGTACTCATGTCATCGGGGACTGGTACCACAGTTTGCACACCAGCTCTTGCATGGTGACATTTTGAGCAGTGCTGCCCTGCACTCAGAAGACCAGCGAGTGTCTCAAGAGGAGCATGGCAGGTAGCAGCATCATGTAAAGAGAGGGCAAGAAGGCAGCTGGATTTTACAAGATGCTCACTAGTGACTTCAGGGAGCAGTTTCAGAAAAGGGATGTACACCGCAGCAGAGTAAGAGGGTAAAGGAAAGGAAACAGTGAGCTGCAGTGAATTAATAGTCAAACAGAATGCAGTCTCCGCTCCTCCTCCCTCTTCCCCCCAATTGAAAAATTTTGGCAAGGACAGTCAGATAGCAGAATTACAAGGGTCACTATTGAAATAAGTTTTTCAAGATAGGGAATACCTGGGCATGTGTAAAGAAAGAGGGGGAAAGCTCCTGGAGAGGGAGAGATTTAACCTGCAAGCACTCCCGAAAGGTTGGGAGGCAGGCAGATGACCTCTGCCCAGCTCTGCAGTCTCACGGCTCGTCACTCTCCAGCCTTGTTCCCCACAGTCGGGCTCACTGGATGCCTGTCTGTCTGTTGTTCGCTCAAATGCCCCAAGCTCTCTGCAGCCTCAGCACCTTCACACGTGCCCTTCCCTCTTTTCGCAACACTCTTCCCCTGGCTAAGGCATTTTTATCTTTGAGGTCTCAGTGACTTTCTCAGCGAGGCCTCCTCTGACACATCCCCCAACCTACATTGAGTCCTTTTTGATACTCTTGCTTGTAGCAACCTGCTCTTCTCCTTCATTGGACTTAACGCAGCTTCTGTTCATTTGTGCTGGTTGAATGTCTGTCTTCCTCCCTAGAATGTAAGCTCTGTGAGGCAGGGACACCAACTGTTTCAGTCACTCGTTTATTGTACCCTGAGCACAGTGCCTCACACAGTAAATGTTGAACGTAAAGCAGTTGCTCCATAATGAATTAATAGCACTGTGACAGTAAGAGCAATAGCTAGCATTTGTTGAGGTGCCAAGGCCTGTGATAAACACTTTCCATTCTCTTTTCTGTTATTTGAACAATCCTATGAAATAATTACTATTTTACAAATCAGGACATTGAGTTTCAGCCTACTTAAATAGTTCATCCAAGGTTAAAGGGCTTGTGAATAAGGATGGGGGACCCATATTCAGGTTTGTTTCAACCCAGAGTCACTAGAAGGGCGTCTTCCCCAGGGGATGGAAGGAGACCAGGAGTGTGGATAAAGAAACAAAGACACTATACATTTGTAAGCAGTCAGCTACAGCTATTACCACCAGGCATGTGCGAAACACTGCTAGCACATGTGCACAAAATGAGAAGAGCCATGAGTCCTGAGTGACAGGAGGGAGTGACTGGCTGGACCCTGTATGAGGAGTGAGGGGCCAGGACCCAATCAGGGCCACCTCGGGAATGTGCCCTGTTCAACGTGGGTGGATTGCATGTTCACCTAAATTCCATTCAAGGAAGGCCCAGGCATGTTGAGAAGAAATGCCCAACCAATCTGCGTGGGGGTAAAAAGTGAACCTCCAGAGCCTGAGTGGGCAGGGCTGTTCCACCCCATCGGGGGGAATCATGGGTTACTTTGGGGAAGGCTAGAGAGAGAGGAGAAAAAGGTGGAGGTGCTGTGAGTGGGGAGACGGCTGAAAGTTTGCATGCTTCATAATATGACCTGCCTCATGGCTTCCCAAATGTTCAGTAAAGTTCTAAAAATCAGCACAATGTTTTATGGTAGAAAGCCATAGAGTGGCCAGGCCACAGAATGAGACCCAGCCACGTTTGCACAGCTCTCAGCGGCAAGGTTGAACAGCTCTCTGGCATATGGGTTTCGTATTGATAATCACCACTTGGGTGGGAAGAATGGGGAGGCGCCCAGGCCTCTGGTCCATTCTGAACTTGCCCTCACTGCTCCTCTGATTGTTCAAGTAACGTGTGCTCTGTAAACTTTGTAGAAAATTTGCAAACTCCAGAAAAGTAAAAGTGAAGAGAAGGCAACAGCCACCGGTTGGTCCTGAGGTAGCAGCTGGGTATTTCAGTTCCTTCCTACTTTTTATCTTCTATGTATTTGTTTGTTTCCAAATTTGGGATTGTGTTTTTTATATATACTTTACTATTTTCACTTAGCAAAATAGCATTTACATTCTCGCAAGTAAATCCTCACCTTTTATTCATGGACTTTCACACCTTTTACAAAAAGGAGTTAATTTCAATAATAGAAATTTTTCCGAGAAAAAGACTGTGTGTGTGTGTGTGTGTGTGTGTGTGTGTGTTCTCTTGAACCAGCTTAATTTGATTCAAGTTCTTGGTTTTTTCTCTCATCTTGCACACCCCAGAAAGTCCTATGAGTTTGAAGACTTACTGCAGTCTTCCTCGGAGAACAGCAGGGTGGACTGGTATGCACAGACTAAGTTGGGGCTCACACGCACTTTATCGGAGGAGAACGTCTATGAAGACATTCTAGGTAAGAGGCCGAAGCGGCTGAGTATGGGTCCATGTGTGTCTGTGAGAAAGGGGGAGAGGAAATGGGGCTGGCTGCTTGAAGCACACACACACTCGAAGATGTGTGCATGCAAGTGAGTGAGAGAGCAGGAAGGTGTGGTGGGGGGTGAGCCCCAGTGGGATGCATGAGAGGACGCGGGGCTGGCGGGGAGAGGCAGGAGGCGGCATGGCAGAGCAAGACACGCAAGGCCTGGAGTCTCAAGATCCACAATGGAATCTTGGCTCTGTTAGCTCCTCTGAACTTCAGTTGTCTCATCTGTGTGAGAACATCCTCATCATCTGAATGAGCATGATGAAAGCAACCTTGCAGGGTTGTTTAAGGACTGGAGAGAATGATCTGTCCAATACCTGGTTTATAACAGATGCTCAGTAAATTGCAAGGATTACTGAATGAAAGGAAACACTAAAGACCAGCGTATTCTTTCAAAAACTGTAAGAATGTGGCACTGACAGGGCATCAAAATATAGACTAAATGAATGTCTGTTAGCAAAAAAGTAACTTTGGCCAAGGTCTAAAGAATCCTCTGAGATTCCAAAGTGGGGCTCAAATTCACTGAGTTTGTTTGGTGAGTTCAATAACCTTTGGGGAAGATCATAGTTTCAGTGAGGTGTGAGCTCAGACCAGGGTCTGCTTATGGTAGGGTGGAGGATGGGCGGGGCAAAAAGCTGGTAAGAGGGAGAAACCCATATTGTATGCATGTGAGGGGCAAGTAGGGTGGATGTACACACACGTGCATGTATGTACTCATCAATACCAGAAAAAAACCCCAGGGGAAGAGGAAACACAAGACTTGAGGAGGGGCATACACTTAGCTGGGCTATTTGAATTGTACCATAGACTATTTGAATTGCAGTGTCCAGGCTGCTGGAGATGGGTTCCTGCCAAAGCAGCAGGCTTCCCAAATCTAAAGTGTGCATGAGATCTGGACTTCTCTCAGCAGCGTCTGCATAATAGGATGCTGTCAATAACAACGAACAGAAAACCCAACTGAAATATAAAGGGAGTTTGTTGGGCTCCTTTGATGAGAATTGGCTTTTTCTTCCTCCACTTCTTATCTCTTAAGTTAGCTCCATTCTCCCATGGTCCTCATGGTGGCTGCCATCAGCTTTCTGGAATTCACACCTTCCACTAGAGGAGAGCTTGTGTCCTGCAAGTCCCAGTAAAAATCCTGAGGTTCACTCTGACTAGACCAGCTTAGGTTCCTTGTTCACCTTCGGAGCCCAGGAGTGCCATGCAGAGATTGCCTTAGGCTTGGGATATGAGCCCTTCCCTGAACTGATCACTGAAGCAGGGACTTGGGATATTCAGATTGGCTAAAACTCTGAAACTGGGAAGGAGTTAATTTCATACAGCTGCAAATGGGGAGACAGGGAGTTAACCCAGTGAAAATCAGGGTCTGTGACCAAGAGGAAGGTGAATGGATAGCAAAACAACAGACATCCCCACAAGGACTAACGCAGGAGAGGCCAAGATGTTGGCTTCAATGTTCCTATAAGGGAAACTTCCTTAATGTTCCCAGGTTCCTGACCCATTGCCTTTGACCACAGATCCGCCAATGAAGGAAAACCCTTATGAGGACATCGAGTTACATGGTCGCTGCCTGGGGAAGAAGTGTGTCTTGACCTTTCCCGGTTCTCCCACCTCTTCCATCCCTGACACACCCACCAAGGTATGAGCCCCCAGGGGAGCAGTGACAGGAGAGGGGTCCCCAGCACAGTGGCTCTGAGCACTCTGGAGTTCTGGCTCTCTAGTTCTCCCGGAACCCCTCTGCTCAACACTTTGTAAAATACCATTGAGCTTCTGACATAGAACAAACTCTAAGATATTAGACTGAAAAGCATGGCGTAGAACAGTATTTTTATAGTGTGCTACAATTGTGTATTCTTTTTTTTTCAAAGAAACACATTAAAAATATGTATTCAGGAGCCGGCTCGTGGCTCACTTGGGAGAGTGTGGTGCTGATAACACCAAGGCCACAGGTTCAGATCCCTATATAGGGATGGCCGGTTAGCTCACTTGGGAGAGCGTGGTGCTGACAACACCAAGTCAAGGGTTAAGATCCCCTTACCGGTCATCTTTAAAAATATATATATGTATTCATATACCCACTGTCTTAAATATATATTTATGGACTGCCCAAAGGCAATTATTTCAGTATTTGTCAGGCTCCTGGAAATTTTATTTTATTTATTTATTTATTTATTTTTTTTTTATTTAAAGATGACCGGTAAGGGGATCTTAACCCTTGACTTGGTGTTGTCAGCACCACGCTCAGCCAGTGAGCGAACCGGCCATCCGTATATGGGATCCGAACCCGTGGCCTTGGTGTTATCAGCACCGCACTCTCCCGAGTGAGCCACGGGCCGGCCCAGCTCCTGGAAATTTTAAATGACCCAAGCAAGTCTCTTGTGAAGATCAGATTTTCAAAATCCTCACCAAGGACATCTTAAGTCACCTCTGTGTTCCCAGGTAGTATTCAGCTAGCAGCAGTCTATGCTTCAAGCACCCATGTTTCACCTGCAGTGTGGGTGATGCTCATTCAATTTCCACCAAGTTCTGCACCTGGAAACAGTTATAATGCTCTCCATCTTAAATGAAGCTTCTACACTGAGTTACTTTACAATAGGGTAGGGAAGGCATAAAGGCAGTTACATGGTGGGGCCCTTCCTACTCACACACAAAAAATCCCCACTGTGTTAAAAACTCCCAGGCATACAGTCAATGACCAATAAACACAAATCCACCTAAATGAATCTTCCAATTTCCAGGCAAGGGAATATAGGCCAAAGGCTGCCCGGGCCCTATTGAGGTCCCTTGGAGAATGCGGCTGAGGCCAGGCCACTGCCCTCCGTGCATTCACAGTCCAGAACCCTAAGATCTGGCTGGGCCAAAGTGGGCGCCTCACCAGGCTCAGGGCAGTCACGCTCCCCTGCTCAGCACCCCTGCGTCATTTGTGGGTTTTTTAATGAAAGAATATTCATATATGTAAACTCATCTATGTTTGTGTATGAGAATATCTCTGTAAGTATATTTAAGAATGAATAGGTGGGCCCCTTAGTGAAATTGTCTGAGTGTCTGAGTACTTGGAGGTCAAGCCAGAAGACTGACTTTGTTTATACAGAGTATCCTTTTGAACCTTTTGGAGTTTTGTACCATGTGCACATACATGATAGAACTGTATTCATGTATGTGATAATTATTTCAACCCATTGCCTACAGGACTGAGTTCATGTTCTTTAGCCTCACTTTAAATAGCCTTCATAATAGACCCCTGGGCACCCATTACTACCTCATTTCCATGGTTCCTACATAGGATCTCTCCCCTCTAGCCAGAGCGTACCAGCTACCCCTCTGATATTGTAGGCCTGAGAGTAAATATTTTAGGCTTTGTGGACCATATGGTCTCTGGTACTGCCATTGTAGTGTAAAGCACTACAATGTAAACAAATGAGTGTAGCTAGATTTCAATAAAACTTTATTTATGGACACCGAAATTCTAATTTGATACAATTTTCACTTGTCATGAAATATTATTCATTTTTTCAACCATGTAAAAATGTAAAAACTATTCTTTTCCTGAAGCTTGTACAAAAACATGTGGTGGGCCAGATGTGGACCACAGGCCATAATTTGCCAACCTCTGTGCTAGGTCATTTCTACCTCTGCCCTTGGCCCTTGCCTGGACCTCTTTTCTCAACCTTTAATGCTCAACTGAATCATGCCTCCTTTAGGAAGCTTCTTAGGCCATCCTAGCCCCTAGGACTTCTTCCCCTCTGTTGTCTGTAACACTCAGTGGGCTAAATCATTCATTTCGCACCAAACTATATACTGCATTGTGACATCTGTTACACTGATAATTTGAGTTATGATTAAAGTCATGTAACGTATCTTAAAAACATCTCCTCAGCTAGACTATAAATTCCTCAAGGTCTGAAAGTATATATCCTGTTTCTTTGTGTCTCTCAAAAGGCCTAGAATAGTTGTCATATTATATATAGTTGAAGAAATTAAATAAAGGAAGACCGATCCAGGCTGCAAAGGTCAATGTAAATCCCGTTGCCAGGACCTGTTTCCAGCAGCCTAAGGAAAGCAGTCATCTTCCTGTCTGGGCTCCACAGGGCTGCATTTGCTGGCAGGTGGGGGTGTCTCTACATGAGGCATGCCTTGATGGTCATACAGGGAAGCTTCCTCCCACTGGGCTTCCTGAAGAGTTGAAGGTATAACCCATGGTGAAGTGTGGCTCTTACAGACCCAAATCAATTGCTGCAATACTTGCCCGAGCCAAGTAGCTGCTGTTTCTCTCCTCATATGGAAAAGGGTATCATCTATGACAATAATTAGCAAAGTTTCTACTTACCTTTAAAATGTATTGTTTGTATTTTCATTGGAATATGGATGTCTTCGGCATTTAGGAAATCCTTCTTTTCTCATAGTGGATAAGCCTGACTTAGAAGAACAATGCAGGCTGTCACACCCAGTCTGCCCCCTTCACATCCTATCTGGCTCCCCACACCCCTTCTCCCATGTGGAGAGTGAACAGCATTGCCTCTTAGGAGCAATGAAAAACACCTGCCCAGAGCAGCTCTGCATTCAGAGCTGGGTCACTCCTCCCTAATAGAAAATAAATTCTTAGCAACCCTTTTCTTCCTAGTCCTGCCAGGCGAGAGAAAACCTGGGGCCTCTGCCACCAAAACAGCTAAGTTCAGTAGGTGATAATGTCAATAAGAATTTCAAGTCCAGATACTGCTGTCCTGAAGAAAGATACTCTCCAATGCACACGTCTGATTGCCACTGATACTTGCAGGCTGTTTGGGGCCTTTGCAAGTCATCAGCAGGACCCTATGTCCACACTCATTACTTTGTTCTCGCACATCTGGGGATCTGGTTCCTGCCCCCCTTCTGGGGGAGAGCTGCAGATTTCACTTCCTCTGTTTAGCTCATCAAATATTCATTGAGCGTCTGCCGCATCTGGGATGCATCTGGGACCTTAGAACTTGCTGAAGCAGTCCCTTTGTGTCGACCTCCTCTACCAGCCACAGCTAGGTCCTAAGCTACCTTTGGGATGCTCATTTCATTAGATCATGCCTAGCCCCAGTAGAAAAGTAAGGGTCAGTTGGACAAACTCCTCAGAAAAGAGCAGACGTAGAGCTGGGATCAGATTCTGATGCTTATGAACACAAAATGCAAGCTCTGGAGAAGGGACTGTTTTCTTGCTATGACATGTTACCCACCATTCCCATACCTTGTACAGCATAGGGAATATGGCAGAAACTAAGTTTTATAATAAAGGACAATATATAAATATTTTTATAGTAAAGGTTAACATGAGATCCTCTTTTTTACATATTGACATCTAAGGGGGAAAATGTATCACTGACTATCGTTCCCTGATTGCCTGTATAGCCCCACCCACATGGTCTCATGTGTCACTTAGCCATGTCTACCGGAGGTACTATCTAGTTAAGTGTGTAGGTTCTAGAGCCTGACAGTTCCCATTCAAAATGTACCTGTGCCACCTGCTGGCTGTGTGACTTGGGGTGAAGGATCTCATGCGTCAGTTTCTCCATTGGTAAATGGAAATAATAACAGGATACCCCTGTTAGGGATCTTATGGAGATTAATCAAATTAATACTTATAAGTTACTTAGACTAGTATCTGCAACACAGAAAGCACATTTATCTGTATTTTCTAAATAGAATTATGCTTTTTGATATGTGTTCTTTTTTAGAATGTTTCTTTTTTTCTGAAAAATAGAACATTCTCATGGTAAAAATTTTTTAAGTACTGGAAACTATAATGAAGGAAATAAAACTCATCCATTATTTGAGAACTTTATTTTTTCTTTATGCTCACCTGTATTTTCTAATTTTTTATAATAGATTGGTATTATTTTTATATGTGTATATATGAGTGTGTGTTTTAAAGGTCTTTTTTTAAAATTGCATGTAATCCCAACACCCAGTTAACTACTGTTAACATTTTAGTTAATTTTCATTGTGTGTGTGTGTGTGTGTTGTGTACATTTAAAAAAAAGATTTGGGATCATGTTGTATATACAGTTTTGCTACTTTTTTATAATAAACCATGAGAATTTCCCCATGTCATTAATTTTTTTTTAGAAACTGTTTTTAGGGCCGGCCCGGTGGCGCACTGCTACAGTGCGCCGCTTGGGAGTGCGGCGGCGCTCCCACCAAGGGTTCGGATCCCACACACAGACTGGCCGCTCACTGGCTGAGCGAGGTACGGGCGCAACACCGAGGGTTGCGATCCCGTTGCTGGTCCCGGTCCGGTATGGGCGCGACACTGAGGGTTGCGATCCGTTGCCGGTCACGAAAAAAGACAAAAAGGAAAAAAAAAAAAAAAAGAAACTGTTTTTATTGCCTACATGGTGTTTCATAATTTGAATATAATGCCATTCCTCCCCATTTTTGGAATGTCTTTGTATGCCTTTCTGTATATTTGTATGTATGTATATTTAAGGGAGTATCTATGTATTTATGTAAATATGTATATACCTACAGACATACAAGGGTTACTTCAAAGAGTTCACAGAAAAATGGAGTTAAAAGATAGTATAGGGGCTGGCCGGTCAGCTCATTCAGTTAGAGCAGGGTGCCGATAAGACCAAGTTCAAGGGTTCGATCCCCACACTGGCCAGCCACCAAAAA